ATAAGAGCACCTATCTAATCTATACAATCTGCATCCAACCAGGCAAGCCCTTGTACTACATACTTGGTAGATATAAAGGAAATTGTACAATCAGATGGTAAGGAGTGTGGTGAGCTTAAGTCTTCACCACTTAATCCAAAACAACATTTTTTTTTTTTAAAAGTTCCGCCTTACAAACACATAATAAAACCTGCAAACTTGGAATGCTTTAGTTTAAAAATAAATATGGAGGTATACCTATTTTACCTTCTGATACTCAACATGCAGATACAGAAAAAAGATGCTACATTCAAATAAATGGTCTAGAGTTCATAAAAAGGAAACTATACACACAAAAAATAAAAATGAGATTGCCACAGCAACCAGACATTACCTCTCGTTACAAACCAGTATTTACACACAGCAATATGTTTATTCGGTCAACAAACATCACCATGACCGGTAAGAAAGAAGAGATCCCTGGTGAGCATGAGGCCTCGTGCACACCAGATGCAGTGCATTCCGGCCCGATTCTGGCCAGAACGCACTGCATCGCATTGCGGCCAGCTCAGTATGTTGTGGGGCAGGAGGTCCATTGAAGTGAATGGCACTGTACCCACAGCCTCCGGCCACAATGCGGTCGGCCGCATGGCACATTATGCCTGCGGTCCGGTGAAAATTCTGCAAGCACTTTTTTGTTCTGACTGGACCACAGGCCGATTACATTGCAGCAGGAGGGCGTGGCTACGGTGCCATTCACTTTAATGTCCGCCACGGTCTGTTGCACGTTTTCTATCTGACCATATAAAATCTGCACATAATCTATAGTGTGGCCAGCTTAAGAATTGATGCTGGTCTAACACCCCTCATGTCCCACAACATACTGAGCCGGACGCAATGCGATGCAGTGCGTCCTGGCCAGAATCGGGTCGGAGAGCTCACCGTGTCTAGTGTGACTGAGCCCCAAGAACCATACTCCTTGGCACTTTTGTCAGCAGTAAACACTCAGAGAAAGCAACAGAACCCAGAGTGTTTTTGGTGTTTTTTAAAGACAAGTAGTGGTAACTGCAATGGTCCTATTCATTGCAAGTGGAAAAACCCAAAAGATGGATCTGTGAATTGTTGTCACAAGATAAAATGAAAACCCCAATGTGATCTGGACACCTCCCACAGCCCTGGTTACCAACATTAAGGCCCCATTCACACCTATGCGTATTGTAATATGTGCGTCTGTCGCGCGACCGTCACGCGTTTTTTACCGCGATTCGCGGTAAAAAAGTTGCGCGACCGTCACACGATTCCAAAGGCTACTTGGCAGTATACAAATGGAAAACGCCCTACAAAACGGACCAATACGCAGCAAAAAACGCTCCGGGACCTTTTCATGCGTGGGCCGTTTTGTAGTGCGTTCGGGACGGGCGGAAATACGGACAGGTGGGAACGATACCATTGACTACAATGCTATTTATTTTTTTGACCGTTTTGTAGAGCGTTCATCGAGCGTAGGACGCGCTACAAAACGGTCAGGTGTGAATGGGGCCTAACAGCTCCCTCTGCCCCACTCACATTACCTGGTAACTGAGCACAATTAATATATTATAGTTGCAGAATAATACTAGGTCTCTTCAGAAGACAGCAGAAGTACAAACCTGTAATTGAAGCTTTGCGTCAGAACATTAATAACTGTGGGCGAGGAAGACTCTTCCATGCTACTAGACAAAAGGTCCCAAAGAGGAGTTTTACCATTTTTAAATAGCTGGCCACAGCTAAAAATGTGTCTGGCTAAGATGATATCATTTTATAGCCAACCTACAAATAACATCTCTAAGATAATTCTAATGACTCACCTTTTAGGGCTCATTGACGCAGAGGTCCATACACCTTACAGAGTGCCTGCGTCCAGAGACTTACATCCATACATGTCTACAAGTATATGCACGGAGCAGTGTTTACCAGTGTACAGCCACAGCCTATCGCTGATCTATACAGGTGGGCTGTATGCACACCAGTGGCTCCAGGGCACAGATATACAGCCATTTCTTTAACGGCATACGGACCTATGCGTCAGTCTGAACAAGCCCTAAATCAACCAATTTATAGATATGAGATGGTTAAAATGCATCTCCAGGCAATTTTTTTTTTAGTTTTGGATCAAGTGGGGAAGGGTTAGACCTTTTGTCAAGATTTAATTGCCGTCTATTACTATTGTAGAGCTTTACCCCTCTACTTCTGCTGGCAAACATCATCACCAAGAAAAAAAGGGAGGAGAAATTCAGAAGTTAGCGTTGTCACCAGTACAAAGAGAATCTTCTAGGGGACACTCGTCAGAGGGAAATTTACCTCGCTGTGGAAGATTTTTTCTAACTTCCTGATCCATCACTAGGACAGGAAGTTATTGGAAATATGCCCAAGAATGCCGAAATTAAAGTGTATCCAAGTCAAAAAACACTTCTTTAGTTTTGGATTGCAACCCATCTGATATTCATTGCTGTCTGCGTCCCTGCTAGGGAAGTTCACTTTATTTGCCTTGGTGAATATTGAAACTAAATGAGATGAGGGAAGTTCCAAAACTGAGCTGTCGCCAGAAGTTTTCCAATGGGGACACTTGTTCCAGTGACAACGGTGATTTCCCTTACTTTGGATAGATTCTCACTTACTGTTGTGTTTGAAGACAAGAGAAATTGGTTGAGAGAAGCTGGTAATACTTTATTTTTTAGTGTTGGATAGAGTAAAGAAGGGTTAAAACACCCGGGAGTATTTTTTGTTGCGTCCCACTGCAGAGTTTTTATACTTTACTTCCGGTTGCATGTATGGAACAAGAGGTATAAAAACTCTGCAGCGGGACACAACAAAAAATAAATGTGCTGGGGGTTTGAGTGAAAGTCTTTAAAATGTAAGGCAAATTCCTGTGAGACAGTTGTCAATGGAATAGTTGTCTCCACTGGAAGATTTACCCTCACTGCTTGACTGGTAATAACGTTACATGTTGGAATTTGCGTCACTATCTGCCCTGGGTATAATGATCACCAGGACAAATACAAAGGGTGCAAATACCCAGCAGGTCTACAGTAAACAATACAAACTTGACAGGTGTATCACTTCTTCCGTACAAGACAAAAATAAGCTTTACATACATGTTAAAGTTTATCCATTTAGCCCCTTTAAACTGCAAGGCAATCTTGCCTATTGCGAGAACACACTGCCATTTATTAGCAATACACACACAATGCACATGGATTAATCAGGACTAGGCAGGCATCATGACGATACTGGGTTACTGAGTGAGGTTTAGCTGTCACATCAGTCATCATTGGATTAATTATGTCACTCTAGTGCAGAATGTTGCAGTGTAAATGATTCCCTTTACTGGCCAACGTTATTAAAGATGCAAGAAGTTAGGATTCCTTAGAACCTGCTGGCGGGTTTTATACATTTTAGAAGTGAGCTTGAGAAAGAATCTAAGGTCCCTCTCACAGTAGTTCTGTCACTCCATATTTCACTCGTGTTTACACAGATGAAGAACAGACTGGAATGCATCTTAAAGGCATCTGAATGTAAGCATATGTGCGTCCGCCTATATCCATCCACTTCCAGATCTGTTCGACCAACTGCAAAATGTGTGTCCAGGTTTGCTTTTACTGACCTGACCACATGTGGGTGGATAAAGGTTTAGATCCAAACACCTATAGTGATTACTTGGGCCTGTTTATGAAAAGCCAGAACAGACAGATCCCATGCGACCGGTCTCTGATCTAAGGCAACTAAGCAGGGGATTTGTCTAGGATCCACCTGCTACAACAGAACCTGTGTGAAAAGAGCCCTTAGCTATTTCGGAAGCTTGCATATCGGCTGTAGATCCTAAAATCATCTCTGAATTGGTGCTGACACTGTCCTTCCTTCTGGAGGGTGGCTACTTTTGTTCCCCATGGTCCCTGTGTGGGTTGTAAAGTAGCCACTCCTCCAAGCTCGCTCCCATGATGGACTACAATCTCATGTTTACCGATCTGTATTGAGATTGTGGTCCATCACAGGAGTGAGCTTGGAGCAGTGGCTACTTCACAAGACACAGGGACAATGGGGAACAAAAGTAGCCACCCTCCAGAAGGAAGGACAGTGTCAGCACCAATTGAGAGATGATTTGAGGATCTACAGCCGAGTGATACACAAGTAAGATACATTTTTATGAGTTAAGGTATTTGAATGCATTTTTAGAATTGAACTGAGTTTAGTAACTCCACTTAGGCAATCAGAGTGTCAGTTTGAGGCTAGGTTCACACCTACCATGTCTCTGCGAAAGTAAGACCTACCCCGAAAGTAAGACCTAGCGCTATCTCCAGGGATTTCTGTAATACAAGACCTACCCACAAAATAAGACCTAGTTCGGTGGTAGGTCTTATATTACAGAAATCACTGAAGATAGCGCTAGTTCTTACTTTCGGGGTAGCTGCACATATAACTGATTTTTACTTGTTAAGACCGGCAGCAGCTCCCACCCACCTGTCTGCCTCAGCTGCCGCTGAAGACTACATTTCCCAGCAGGCACAGTGCGGCATAACCAGTGGGGTCGAAGTGGACGGAATCAGAGCGGACAGCTGCAGCCAGGTAAAAATAAGACATCCCCTGAAAATAAGACCTAGTGTCTTTTTTCGTTGGAAAAAAAATATAAGACAGCGTCTTATTTTCGGGGGGACGACACACGGTAGGCGACTGAGCTGGTTGAACGGTTTTCATGCTTTTTCATTTGCACGACTGTTCTTTGGAGTATAGAGATGTCTATGTGACCCAAACCAGGCGACATCCACCCAAAAATAGCTCCTGCACCTTTTTGCATGACAGTCGATTTCATCCACGCGACAGACCGCAAAAGTGTGAACAGGGTCCATTGCGGATCTGTGTTTTGTGCAATAAATCACCTAGGTGTGAACCTAGCGTCACTCCAAACTCTGTGCACTAGCTGATGGCTAACATTGCATAACACTAGCGATTTGACTTTATAAAGTGTCAGTGAAGGGTCTCCTCACCTAGCCGCACCTCCCAGTCAGGCTCTGGGTTGCACTGTGGAGCATTGGAACAAGTCTGTTTCCAGAATCTCTTTTCAGCCAGACGGAACAGCCATCCCACCACCGCCACCAACAAGCAGGCCAGGAGGGCCGAGTACCCGACGGCGGGGTCCCACCCAACCAGCAAGTCATAGACAGGCTTCATCCTCCGTGCCTCCTCACACACACTGCCCCGGCGGGTGTACCCCCGACCGGCCTCCCTCTAGGACTCCCGGCAGTGCCGGGTTTTCAGCGATCCCCGTGCTACAGGACTTCTCTCCTCGCTCCCTCCACAGGCCGCTGCGGCGTGTTTCCCACTCCCTGCCTGAGCTCCCCGGCTTTCCCGCCGAGTCCCACTACACCCCAACACTATACCCCTCCACCGTCCGCTTCTCCTGACAGGACAATGGCAGGCTTTACTGTCCCTCACTTTCCTGAAGCGTGTCGCCCCACTCTCATCCCTCCGGAAACGATACCGTCCTCTTATCGCCCGAGAACACTTCAGTCCTGTCTACAATGTCCTAGCCGGGCTCACAGATCCTGAGCAATGCACTGGCCGCCTTGTATCCCACCCCCGGCCTGGGCTCTCCCTTCTCTCACACACACGTCTCAGCGCTCTCTCCGCCCTGCCTCACAGAACCAGCCTCTCTCGGATGGTACCGGTTCCAAAAACTCAGACACGCCCTACCTCCTCCGCCTTTTGTAGGATTCACCCGAGGCTACTGTACAGCACCCCTGCGACACTTCCGCTCCGGCCTGTCAGGACCCCGCCGTCTCGCGGCAACGGGGCTGTCCCTGGTGCGCCTGACACGCCGACGAGGTGGAGTTTTGTTGTGCCGCCTCATACGACTGTGGCTGTGTTGCTTGCATTAGTCGAATCATTGTTACACGTCTCTCCATGTTAGAACTATAAACTATATATTTCTGTCCAGGTCTTATCATCACTCTGTCATAGGGTTACAGTAGTCTCTGGTAACACCTGTGCGATTTAAAGCAATTCGCCATCACATGACAAATGGATCCATCCTGTCTGCGTCCGAGTACGGACACCCGCATGGATCTGCAGCTCGGGTGAACATACGACAGCGTGCAGCCGCGTACTCCCATAGGGAAGAACAGGCTGCCGCTTACAATCACACGCAGCACCTGTCCTTCCCGGGAATGGCCCGATACGACCGTGCACGCCGCAAGGAACTGTACAGCCCCGCTCTACCCTGTGTGAATGAAGCCTTAATTACATGGACTGTCCTGTACCGCCCAACCTTCTGAGATGGGAAAGTGGTCCCTTAATTACATGGACTGTCCTATACCGCCGAACCTTCTGAGATGGGAAAGTGGTCCCTTAATTACATGGACTGTCCTATACCGCCGAACCTTCTGAGATGGGAAAGTGGTCCCTTAATTACATTGACTGTCCTGTACCGCCCAACCTTCTGAGATGGGAAAGTGGCCCCCAAATTACATTGACTGTCCTATACCGCCAAACCTTCTGAGATGGGAAAGTGGTCCCTTAATTACATTGACTGTCCTGTACCGCCCAACCTTCTGAGATGGGAAAGTGGTCCCTTAATTACATTGACTGTCCTGTACCGCCTAACTTTCTGAGATGGGAAAGTGGTCCCTTAATTACATGGACTGACTTGTACCGCCCAACCTTCTGAGATGGGAAAGTGGTCCCTTAATTACATGGACTGACCTGTACCACCCAACCTTCTGAGATGGGAAAGTGGTCCCTTAATTACATGGACTGTCCTATACCACCCAACCTTCTGAGATGGGAAAGTGGTCCCTTAATTACATTGACCGTCCTGTACCACCCAACCTTCTGAGATGGGAACATGGGACATACAACATGAAGTATGTAGGCTAGGACACACCTCATCACACCTCCAGTAACACAGACCATGTTGATTCATGAACAAAAAATGGTTTATTTCATCACTACTTTTCCTTTATTTTGTTTTCTCAAAGTAATGAAAATGAAATACTTTAAAGGTTAGATAAAAGGTTTAGTGCAATACAACAATTTTCATCATTTATTTTTACAGAGATCAGGCCAAAAAGAGGGGCATCTGAGGAAGATGTCAGGGTGAGCACGTTTTGTGTGTTTGGTTCCACAAGATCTCCCTTGTGACTATAAAGATGACCGAGTCACATATATTTGATACTCTGGGATAACAATTGTGTATTAATGGTTCTCTTGGACCCTTTGGTAAACACCATCAACCCCTAAGGCCCCATTCACACTGAGCGATTTATCGCGCGGTAATCCGTGCGATATCGCGGATATTTACCGCACGATATCGCTCTCCAATGCATGGCAATGGGGCTCTGTTCGTCGCTGTCGCGGGTCGTGCGTCGCTACAACAGGACCCTTTTTGGAGCGGATTTCGGCGCGATTCTACTTTGCTCAATGCAACCATTTGCGCGATGTCGCGCGACAAACCACGCAAAATGCAAATCGCACGACAAACGCGCGATTTGCGATACGCTCACGCGGGCCTAACAGTGGTGTCATGAACTAAACTGTACCGTCAACTCTATTCTCCAGCCAAATAACACTATTGGCCCAAGCCCACAGCAAAGCAGTATCAATCATTCATCAATTCAACTGTCCAACAATAACGTATAACCTTCAAAGCAATATCATCACCCTAGCTATGCAACAGGGTAGTGCCATCAGTTTAATGATCTAACAGGACAGTTCCATCATCTCACTTATGTCGCAGAGCAGTTCCATCATTGCTGTGTTTCAACAGTACAGTTGTACCATTGCATTTCTCCAACAGAGCAGTACCATCATCTCAGTCCATCCTCAAAGTAGTGCCATCAGCTCAGTGCTCCAAGAGGACAGTTCCTTCATCTCACTTATGTCGCAGAGCAGTACCATCATCTCAGTCCATCCTCAAAGTAGTGCCATCAGCTCAGTGCTCCAAGAGGACAGTTCCTTCATCTCACTTATGTCGCAGAGCAGTACCATCATCTCAGTCCATCCTCAAAGTAGTGCCATCAGCTCAGTGCTCCAAGAGGACAGTTCCATCATCTCACTTATGTCGCAGAGCAGTTCCATCATTGCTGTGTTTCAACAGTACAGTTGTACCATTGCATTTCTCCAACAGAGCAGTACCATCATCTCAGTCCATCCTCAAAGTAGTGCCATCAGCTCAGTGCTCCAAGAGGACAGTTCCATCATCTCACTTATGTCGCAGAGCAGTACCATCATCTCAGTCCATCCTCAAAGTAGTGCCATCAGCTCAGTGCTCCAAGAGGACAGTTCCATCATCTCACTTATGTCGCAGAGCAGTACCATCATCTCAGTCCATCCTCAAAGTAGTGCCATCAGCTCAGTGCTCCAAGAGGACAGTTCCATCATCTCACTTATGTCGCAGAGCAGTACCATCATCTCAGTCCATCCTCAAAGTAGTGCCATCAGCTCAGTGCTCCAAGAGGACAGTTCCATCATCTCACTTATGTCGCAGAGCAGTACCATCATCTCAGTCCATCCTCAAAGTAGTGCCATCAGCTCAGTGCTCCAAGAGGACAGTTCCATCATCTCACTTATGTCGCAGAGCAGTACCATCATCTCAGTCCATCCTCAAAGTAGTGCCATCAGCTCAGTGCTCCAAGAGGACAGTTCCATCATCTCACTTATGTCGCAGAGCAGTACCATCATCTCAGTCCATCCTCAAAGTAGTGCCATCAGCTCAGTGCTCCAAGAGGACAGTTCCATCATCTCACTTATGTCGCAGAGCAGTACCATCATCTCAGTCCATCCTCAAAGTAGTGCCATCAGCTCAGTGCTCCAAGAGGACAGTTCCATCATCTCACTTATGTCGCAGAGCAGTACCATCATCTCAGTCCATCCTCAAAGTAGTGCCATCAGCTCAGTGCTCCAAGAGGACAGTTCCATCATCTCACTTATGTCGCAGAGCAGTACCATCATCTCAGTCCATCCTCAAAGTAGTGCCATCAGCTCAGTGCTCCAAGAGGACAGTTCCATCATCTCACTTATGTCGCAGAGCAGTACCATCATCTCAGTCCATCCTCAAACTAGTGCCATCAGCTCAGTGCTCCAAGAGGACAGTTCCATCATCTCACTTATGTCGCAGAGCAGTACCATCATCTCAGTCCATCCTCAAACTAGTGCCATCAGCTCAGTGCTCCAAGAGGACAGTTCCATCATCTCACTTATGTCGCAGAGCAGTACCATCATCTCAGTCCATCCTCAAACTAGTGCCATCAGCTCAGTGCTCCAAGAGGACAGTTCCATCATCTCACTTATGTCGCAGAGCAGTACCATCATCGCTGTGTTTCGACAGTACAGTTGTAGCATTGCATGTGTATTGAAATGCCCCCAGTTCACTGCTCCCCCAGCCTCTGCAGGTATTTCATGCTTCTAGATGTGTGAACACTTGCTCGCCCCCACCGCACAATGTATTTCCTTTCGCCAGCGCGTTTGCCATTACAGGACGTATGAGCCATCTGTACCCGCCCTCTCCCCCGTCCATTCCGCCAGTCAGCAATGGCGGATCGGAGCGGGGAGGGGTGAATCCAGTCCCTCCCCTGTCACGGCAGAGAGCCGTGACAGGATCGAGAGGTGAGCGAACCTGGTATGTGTTCGCTCACCTCCCGATCTACTGAGCCGACCTGTGACAGTCTCATTGTCATAGGTCGGCTAGAACTATGAGGTGAGTGAAAAGCACTCGCCTCATAGTTCTTCTTTAAGTCATCTCCAGAACACCCCAAAGATTCTCAATGGGGTAAAGGTCTGGACTCTGTGATGGCCAATCCATGTGTGAAAATGATGTCTCATGCTCCCTGATACACACTTTCACAATTTGAACCCGATAAATCCTGACATTGTCATCTTGGAATATGCCTGTGCCATCAGGGAAGGAAAAATCAATTGATAGAAGAACCTGGTCATTCAGTATATTCAGGTAGGCAGCTGAACTGATTTATAGAAAACATAATGTTGCTTTGCCTAGACTTATTATCCAATGGAAGGCTGTTACCTATTTGCTTAGCTAAATCCAGGTGGTGACTTTTTTTTTTGGCCATTTTTGTTTTTGGGTTTAGATGCACACTTATCTCACTGATCTAAATAGCTCATGATGTCATAGGTGAGAAAAAAAATCTACTTTTTTGTTACTTTTTGTCT